TAGAATCCAGTAGGGATGGCAGAGCCGAAGGGAAATGTAATAACTGAGAATAAAGAAATATATCCTCCAGTCCCTTTCACGTATTGTGAAATGGAAAGGCAATGAATATCATCTGCTTAAATTCTGCTTGGCCAAGAGAAGAACCACAGCACGCTTGTCAGTTACAAACTCAAAATATTCTAGATATGAATTCAGTTTTATCTTTTTCCTCATCTCAAGAGAAAACTGTTCTTCTTCTCTCCTCCTATCTACAAAACACTCACATTCTCATAGGGGGAAGCAGAAAGAGAAATTCAAATTAATTTAGCAAAGTGAACATTACCCATCCCTTCCTCTACTTCTTCAGAGATCTGTTTGAGAGATTGGCTTCCATCACCTCCTCTTGCTATCAATTCTTCTTGCTATAGATAGAAAGTGCTTATCAGAGGAGGGTGTTGGAGGGCCTTACGCTTTCCCCAGAGAAGAAGAAAACCAACAATGAATTCCAAATGGCGGAAGCACTCTCAATTCTGTATTTATATATATATAGCAATAGCACTTAGATTTATATTCTGTACCGCTTTACAGTGCTTTACAGCCCTCTCTAAGCGGTTTACAGAGTCAGCATATTGTCCCCAACAATCTGGGTCCTCATTTTATTCACCTCGGAAGGATTGAAGGCTGAGTCAACTTTGAGCCTGGTGGGATTCAAACTGCCAAATTGTAGGCAGCTGGCTGTCAGCAGAAGTAGCTTGCAGTACTGCACTCTCCATTGCACCACTGAGGCTCTTATATATGTTAGATATATATCATACCTTTCCTCTAGGAGCTCAATGCAGCTTACATGAAGATCTAATTTCTTCAAAGCTGATATGGGTATAGGAAATATAACATGTAGGTTATACATATTTTACAATAATCAGGGACATGCCCAGCAAGGTGGCAGCATCTAGTCAATCTTGATTATTCTTGAAATATTAAGAAGGACCAATGTGGTTAGTACCCACAGGAGAGACCACTAGAAGATTCCTTGGCTGTAGGTTAGACTGGGAAGTTTTTTTAAAAAAAACCCACGCTATCCAAGAACAGCAATCATCTGAATTTTGTTGCAGGGAAGACTTATAAGGATACGTCCATGAAGTCACCAAGAGTTGAGTTCAACTCAAAGAAGAAAAATAGCGAATCGTCATTTTAAAAGAGCAATTCTCTGCCTAAATCAAGCAAATGAACTTGAGAGGCATAAGTGCTACTATACCACCTACATTGCCTTGAACTCCTTAGAGAAAAAATGGACACTACTATACTAAATATACTTCTATAAAATACAATATTATAAATGGCAAGGAAATCAAGTTAGCACCAGAGTTAATTTTGTGCACATTTTATAAAGAAAAAGAATTATTAGCCAATTTGGTTTGGGCTGTCCCATTTTTTTTCCTTAGCACATGACTTTATGAAGGATGGTTGTGCATGCCAGTTCAGCAGAAGTACTTAACCTTTCCCATTTATCCACTCCACATTGTCTCCATGCTCAGTTTCTCACTTCATAGTGTTTGAGTCATCTCCTGCCTTTTGCAAAAGAAAGAACAAAATCTGTTCTGTATATGCTTTCTGTATATTATTATGTATCTTAGCCTTGTAGTTCAGAATAGTGCTATTTTATCTGATCTTGCAAAATTTTATGAATAAGGTCAGTGGCAGTGTTTTAAAATAATCATTATGAGCAGCAAATAAATGGGTCAGTTTCAGCAAAAAAAAAAATTTTTTTTTACTTTATGTGACTTCATTTACTAGAAATATTCCAAATCCAATTAAGTGAGACTTTCATGATGGTTACCTGATACAGCTCCTTTTCGAACAGCATTTTTCTTTTTCTTCTCTTTTCTCTTAACTCTTAGCTTTAGATTTCCCCATAAGTTCCTGTCTCACCTTGAATGTATCATTAATCTCATCTTCATTTCTTGCTTCTTATAAGTCTTCTTTAGTTCTCAAGTCTGGGATAACTTACTCTATTTAACACACAGTAAAATAATGCCTCACAAATGAAGTACAGTTATAGTTTGTTTCAGAAAGAGTGGTCAAAGCCTCAAAATCACCGATATTACTACAGCTTTTTGGTAGGCACAGCCCAAAACAAATCCAGATATCCAATAGATTTAAAGCCTATTCAATTGAAACCAAAAGCTAGGTGAGACCCTATGTCTGCTTTCTGAAATCAGAAGCTGCAGACAGAGGCTGGGGGCACTTTTATAAGAAAGAAGTAGAACATTTTCAAGGGAAAGCAAGCAACAAGGTGCAACCTTGAGTAAAGACAGTGTTGAGGTATGGATTGAAGTTATGCTCCTCCCTCAAGGCAGAGGACTTAATATATGTCTTTTTAGTTTATGCAGTTGCACTATAGGTATAAAACAAAAATGCAATAGATGTAAAATATGTGGAACACAATAGGAAAAAGAAATTTGCTGCAGTTGATTGGTTGTTCTGAATCAACTACGAATATGAAACAGGGCAAGAAATATAAAAAGGCAAGATTGCACTGAGTGCATCACAAATTTATCATGTAATTGTGAGCTAGAACAGCACGATCTTATTTAACCTTCTGGCACTACAGTTTTCCTCAAAGTTATGAAAATCTGTTTTTTTAAGAATACTGGAAGAACACAGGGAAACATTGGAAATTTGCAGTGGAGTAAAAAAAATCCTCTGGGTTCTCCAAATTCAGTGCCCAAAGTAGTCTCTCTTAACATGTGATGGTTTTCAACAATAAAAAATTATGGGATATACATTGTAGACATAAATACTGTAATGGTACCTTCCCTATTTTTAATTAATGTCCCCATAGTTGTTAGATAAGAAATTGTATTTTAAAACATTTGAAAAGCATCATTTTGAAGAAATCTATCATGAAGGTTGTACAAAGATCTCTGAGGTAATGCATGTTTTATACATGCTTTCAAAGTCCATGCAAATCCATTTTTCTACAAATTGTGGGATATACAGTGCTAATAGTTGCAAGAAAGTTTATGTGGGAAGAATTTCCTTGGAAACATTACACACTCCAGTTTTAGTAATTACATCTCTGTGCTTAATTCTGTATTGAATTATAACGAAAACACTGTGATTTCTTCTTGCTTGGGAGATTTTAATCAAATGATGTCTTTTTTTATTTCAGTAATTGTAGAAAAACCATTTGAGATTATAGTGTACAAAAGGTGAACATGATATGCAAGTAGTCGTCAACTTAGAACTATTCATTTAGTAACAATTCGAAGTTGCAATGGCACTGAAAAAAGTGACTTACGGTTGGTTGTTGCACTTAAATTCGGACGCTTGGCAATTTGCATGTATTTATGATGTTGCAGTGTCCCAGGGTCATGTTATCACCCTTTGTGACCACCTGACAAGCAAAGTCAACTGTGGCAAGTCATAAAATGGGGTAACGCTCACTTAATAACTGTCTTGCATAGCAACAGAGATTTTAGGCTCAGTTGTCATAAGTCATATCTGTAATGATCCAGCCATAACTTATTAGGCCCTCTCAAAAACTCATGCCTACTTCAGAAAACAATCCATGGCTTGCCTTCATAAGCAAAGAGAAGGAGTAAAACATTTATCTGCTAGCTGTCATATTTTCTAGACTCAGTAAATTAATAATTGAGAGGTGGTTTCATAACCAGATTTTTAAAGGTATAGCAAAGGGTCTGCAATGAAAAGGGGATATTTGGAAAATTGGATACCCATCTTTTTCCCTTTTACGCCACAACTAGGATTTTACTCTTGACTGGGATGGGTTATATACTAATAGTATAAGCATGTATGCTTCTATATTACTTCATAATGCTTTACAGCACTCTCTAAATGGTTTACAAATGTCAGCATATTGCCCCCAACAATCTGGGTTCTACTTTACTGAGCTCAGAAGGATGGAAGACTGAGTCAACCTTGAGCCAGTCAGGATCGAACTCCTGGCTGTGGACAGAGTTATCCTGCAATACTACATTCTAACCACTGAGCCATCATGACTCTTGTATGTAGATATTTTGAGTCTCTGTCAAGTTAAGATAAACATTGTGAAGAGTACATTGGGAGTTTGTGTCATTCTCTGAAAACTTATGTTTTAGAAACCACTGAACTAAAGATGTTTCAAGAGGTAAGTTTCCCCTGTGGAACAACAAATCTGGAACAGGAAGCACTTCATTGAAGGTTCATTTATTAGCATAAAATTTAGAGAAACTGCATTGTAGTAAGCATACTAAATAGATGCAATCACTGACTGTATGCCAATTTTACTGATATGTTCAGAATAGCTTCCATCATGGTCAAAATTAGCACTAGGCATATCAGGACTGTAGGTGGTGGATCTTCCACACACAGTTGTAAAAGTTCTGTCTGTGAAAAACAATCACTGCTAGGTGCAAAAAAACTGTGAATTTGTGAGATTTTGCTTATCCCATGTCATATTCACCATCAATAATTGGGATCATATGCTTCACTCCTATATTTGTAATCCTATATTCACTCCTATATTTGTAATCAACCCATTATGCCATTTCCAGACAAATTCTGTTTGAATTCATCATTCATTTATCCAGATTGGTGCAGTGTGGTATAGTTTAAGTTATAAATACCATCATTTTGCTTCCAACTTCTCAATTAAAAGCTAATTATCCAGGACCATTCTTTGCTTCTGCATCCTCACTTGGCCACCTTCTCTTTTCGCCTTCTCCTGTATGAAGTGTGAGGGGGGGGAGAGAGAGAGAGAGAGAGAGAGAAAGAGACCTGTGTGTATGAAATGGCACCATCTTCCTTTAGAACGGGGGTGGGGAACCATGGCCCTTTTATAACTTGCATGGCTGGCTCAGGAATTCCAGGCGTTGAAGTTCACACGTCATAACAGGGCCATGATTCTCAAACCCTGCTTTAGAAGCCTTTATCACTCTTTTCGAATCCCAGTAAAAAAAAAAGTTGGTTGTTGGTGCAAGAACACCACTCATTCTTCATCTTTTGCTTTTGTTTCTCAGAAAACCAAAAGGGATGTAAATAACTTTGATCAAGACTTTACACGAGAAGACCCAATATTAACACCAGTGGATGAGACAATTATAAAGCAAATCAACCAAGAAGAATTTAAAGGCTTCTCATATTTTGGAGAAGAGCTGCTGCCATAAGATATTTTTCCCCACCCCTAAATTGGAACCACCAGATCACAGATGCTGCAAGTTGTGTTCTGAAAAATCCTCCAGCTACACCATCAAGAACTGCTTCTCTGATCATGAGCCTAAACCCATTACTTTCTACTGTCTATTTATTGTTATATTTCCTTGATCTGGAGGCACTCATATTAGCTGTTTTACAGAGCAATGCAAAAATTTTGTATTAGAAATTGTAAAGGTAACACATTGCTGTTGTTTTTTGCTGCTGTGTCTCTCGTTCTCTCTATTCAGACTTTCTTTTATTTTCAGGAAGGCTTTGTCTTTTTTTAAAATCATCTAGCACTGTCAAAAGTAATTAGTTCAACCATTTTTAATATTGAAAAATCACTCAGAATTTTAGCTTCATCTTTTAAAGCTTAAAATTATGGTCTAGAGTATGTACTGAAGGTTAGACAACTTTTTTCCAAGATGCCACAAATAGGTATCTCATCCCATTGTGCTAGATAGATAAGTATATATGTTGTATGATTATGGAGAGAGAGGAATTCTTCATTATGACTTATTTTCAACTCAGATACAAATCTATAAATCAGCCATAAGATTTACTGAGCTTGGAATTAGCTCAATGCATTTTGAGTTGATTGCCAGGGGCCTTATGAAGCACGAGAGATAAACATTAAACCCTTTTGCCATTGATTTCAATAAATTGTCAACAGGAATGGTTGAGCTCACACCCCTTAACATTCAAATGGGTACGTTTGGAGTGAACTTCAATTCTTCAATAGGCAGCTCTTTCCATGGAATGCAACCTTAGGAAAGTGAAGTTTTGCATTTTAGTGTCAGGCAAAAGAAATATGCCCAAATCTGTCAAATATGATCTTCTCAAAGTTCTGTTGAGCGTCTTAGAATGTTTTTTTTTTTTCAATCTCAGCGGTTTTAAAATGTGTGGACTTAAAACTGGGAAGTCCATACATCTTAAAGGTTGCTGGGATTCAAAAATTATGTCTTAGAAGATACAGCGATAAACACTGATTTTAAATCTTATCTGTGGAGGCAAAACCTTTGGGAACCATTTGGAGAGGAAAAAGCAGCTGCTCCAAGTGTTAGGAACTCTTAGGACTACACATTTTAAAATTTCAGGCTCAAGGTTGCTTTAAAAACACACCAAAATAGATTGGGGGCTGGGGGCCTTTAACTTTTTGTCTGCTGCCACTATCCTAATTTGGATTGTAGTTTCTACTGTAGACATAAGCAACTGTATTTAGTCTAATAGGGAGCAAACCCCCATATTCTTTCCCTTAGATTCACTGAAATAATTCAGATTTCATTTTTCTTCAGCTAATTTAAATTCAGTTCCTTTATTAGGCTTGTTTTAAGTATGTCTGTCTCCAACCCTAGGTTTTTACACATTTGAACTAATCATGCAAGTAATTTATAAAACCCAATGTAATCATTTCTTTCCAATTCATGTGCTTAGAATGGAGATGCCAGGTTTCCAATATTCAAAATAAACTGAATGAAGCATTTACCCTTGAAAGGCAAGCATTTTAAATATATGAGAGCTGAGGTCTGTCTTGGTCAATATGGCTACTAATTGATGCTCCAGGTATAATGCCATGTTTGCCTTCAATAATTGCTGTCATAAGGCATTGTTGTCACACTGCTTGCTCTTTACCTGGTGAGGAAAAAGATGCTAGAAACCCAAATAGTTCTAGTATACATAAATAGTTTAGTAGACGGTCTAGAGGCTGACATCCACAAAAGCAGCTGAAAACAGCTTCCGTTTAGCAGCTTATCATGCATCTGAGATCTCAGTTGAACTCAAACTGGCTTTCATTCAATTTAACCTCGGAGGGTTAAATGAAAAGGTAACTGAACTCTGTGGATACACTACAATTTTTCAGAACTCAGATTTAAAAAATATATATACACTGCCTTGGCTGATTAAAAATCTCTGCTCTCATTGTGATTAGAAATGACAGGAGGCAGAATGTTGATAATCTCAGAATTCAAAGATGTGTAACAAGCCTACATAATCTGCCCTAATCTGTTTCACAATCAGATCAAAGGAAAAGGCAGCTTTCCACATGCAATCAGAAGTTGCCATGATATATGAATTTCTTTCAGGATAAAGATGATCAGACACAGAGGAAATGGAAAAGTTGCAGAGAAAATGCTAGTGACAGATACACCAATGCCCACTCTTTCTCTAAATGCTTCTTGGTGTTGCACTGTCCTAATCAGAACCAGGGCTTAGTGTTACAAGGGCTGCCCCAAGCTTGTGAGTTGACGTCTGCCCCAAAATAAGAAATTCAATTGGGGATTGTTTCTCTTAATTCTGATGGGAGCCTGAAAGGAGAATGTCATCAGGATGAAACAGCCATCGTATGCTATGCAGGACTTCCACATTATGTTTCTGAGGCTGAACTGTGCCACTTTTAACCCACAATTAAACCTCAAACACGATGGGACTTATTAAGCAAACACTCATCGAAAACCTAGTTAAAAACTCTACAATGTTCTTCTTGAAATCTGTTTTCTTTTAGAAATGCAAGTAACTGACAGGAAGGAATCCTACTCTTCTCTTTTCTATGGGTCTCACCCATACTTATATTAGAGCAGCTTTCTAAACATTAACAAGCCATGCTGTAATACAGCAGTGAATGGGGCAAAATGATTTTCCACTTCCTCCCACTCAACATTTATATTTTAAAGAGCATTTTGTTGCAAGGCTGGGTCTTGAAAAGCAAATACTCTGAAAGTGTTGTGATTAGAATAATAAATGCTATGGAAAACATTTTAGGAAAAAGCTATATTTTTTAAAGAATACATGACTTTTTAAAAGTTTTGATTTAGAAATTATAACTAATTTTTTTAAAAAGAATCACTAACACAAATGCTACAAAGACAGGTGTTTTAAAGGGCTAAGAATGGACAAATTCTCCAAAAGCCTATGCTAGCTTTAATAAAGCATCATAGGTTTTCTACAGTTCTTACAGCTGCTTTGCCATATTCATGATAATCCTTCCATAGTAAAACTGTTTAAAAGCATGTGCCTAAATCGTTTACATCATTGGTGCATTGACAGGTATGAAAGGGACTTAAGGGGGAGGGAGAGCCTCTTTTTTATGTACTGAACCTGAATGATGACCTGCTTTGCTTATTTAATTTTAATTTCAATAGCAGTGTGTTACTTTTGCAGGCTTTTACCCACAAAAATGGGATGACCCATCTTTCATTGTACATAGTCTTTGTCCTCCCTTTCTCTTTGCTGAATGCTCACCTCCAGTTACCTCTTTCCTCTTCCGGAGCCCTGTGTAAAGGGGCCCCTGGCCAACAGCAGAGGGCTGGAGAAGGAGATCCTGGAATGCGCGACTACTGTACTGTGGGTCAGCCCAGTAGTACTACTGTTTGGTTGTGAAAAGCTTTGAAAGAACTGATGTGATAACTGTGGTCAACAGGAAAACCACAAAGCAAAGCAAAACCATTCATGAAATGAAAAAGGAGGGAGAGATTAAGATCAAGATTCAAAAACTGACATTGTTGAAGGTTGTAAATGGATTTCTTGTGTAATCATGACAAACTGGTAACTCATGTGGAAAATCATTAAGAAAGAAATGTGAAGTTACCGCTTGTAGATATGCTGATAATGTTATTTACTCATATTTCTGGGAATACTGCATTTTTGTATATGTAAGTGTGGACATGCGTGTTTGTACAACATGTATCACACACACACACACACACACACACACACATATATATATATACATGTACGTGTGCGTATAGATTTATACATACATACATATATATATATATATATATATATACTGAATGAGCAGTTAAGGGAATCCTTTTTATTTGTTGCACTTGGATTTTTCATATACACACACACACAAACATACACGCACACTTACATACAGGGTGTACCAAAAGTGAAGCCCCATAGACACTTTATTATAAAATTTACATAAAAGTTTGAATTGGTTGTAATTTTCTTCTGAACACTTCCTTAGTCATTTAACACTTGTTATTTGACCATTCCTAATTATGGTATATGCCTTTTTTCTCTGAAAAAAATATTAATAAAGTGCATTGTCTATGCATAAAATGTATTGGCTATGGAGCCTGACTTTTGGATATGGGGAGATAGAGCGGCAGTCATCAAGCATTTTCCTAACTTTTCCTTTCTTCTTTTCTCTCTTTCTCTCCCTCCCTCTCCCTCTCCCCCTCTCTTTCTCTCTCTCTCTCTCTCTCTCTCTCTCTCTGTGCAAGTGAGATTTGTATATAGATGTTTATTGCAAGGCCTGTGGGACTCAATGAATATAGAGGTATCAACTGCTGCATGTTCAGGCATATTATTAAAATTAGTCTATGAAGGAATAATTATGATTATGTCCATGTGCAATACTCTGTTTGTGTATTGGTTCAAGTTATTGTCAAAGATGAATTTCCCTCTCTTTTTTTTGCTATAGGACCGATGTAAACTTATATTAAGCTGTACTGATTCTCCTGTATAGTTCTCTTAAACTGTATATGGAATGGTAGAGAGAGCGGGGAGAGGGGGGAAAGCAACCACTATTAACCAAAGCACATCTTTCAGACACATGCCCCATCTCATGCGATCTCTATGAGAAGAAAATTGTTGCAGGAAGGTTTCTCCATCAGAGAATGTAGAGCCTCCTGCCTATCAAAAGTGTCCTTCCATGCTAGTAGATAAGAACAGCATCTGAACTGGGTATCCATGGACAGCTACAGGAGCCTGCTCTGAAGCCCCTCTTAAAAATGCTTTGTCAGCAGTCTGAGCAGGGACAATCTGTCACATAAACTGTCATGGGGTAAATTACAAAGAGCTAGACTTGGATAAAATTGGTCAAATTGCTGCAGACTGGTGCCTTCAGATGAGTCCAGAGGATCCCACCAATTAAAGCAGGATTGCCTCCGGGCATACAGTCCAGAGCATATAGACACTATACCCCAATTTCCAGAAAAGGCACCCATTGTGGACTTCTCCCATGTGGCCTGTAACTTTGCATAATGTCGCAAGAAGCCTCGTGGAGCAATTTCCAGGCCTCAAAGTAGCTTGAACAGGTGACGGAAGTCATCTTTATAAAGGGACAGATTAGGTTACATCAGTTTTATGTATGGCTGTTCAGAGCCACTTTTGGTGACAAAGACACTTAATTTCCTTATGTTGTGTTTTTTTTTAAACTCAGGTGTAATTATTATTATTATATATAAATATATATACATATATGTATGTATTCATGAGGATTTCAGAATATTAAATATGCTATACCAAGTCATGTGTTGTCTGGCTTACCAAAGTAATAAAGTATCAAACATTGTTAAATAATTTATTTTATTTTTAATCAAAACTAAGGGGCTGGGGGGAAGGGGGAAGAAACCCCATCTCCTCACCCTCTGGCTTCTAGAGCGAAAGCACAGCAATGTCACAAAGGATGCATCATCTCATTGAATTTTCATTTTAGAGGGAAAGAGTGTAAAAATGCCCTTTAGTTTTTGGAGTGTCATACCTGTTCTGTAGATTTTTCTTATGAAGTTAACTTCATATGAAGTTCATCCAGTGCAAAAATGAACAAAGCTAAGCAGTGTTTTTCATAGGTGAATAAAAACTTTGCAAATTGCAAAAGGCTTCCCAAAAACTGTTTGTAGGTTGGCTAAACTGCAGAATGATTGTCCAGTGCAGTCTTGTTTGCATGGCATGCAAGGTCTTTATACAAAATGGAGATTAGTGGTTCTTTATAAGAGACTAAAACATGCATTCCACAAAGCTTCTGTAAGCAAAATTGTGGAGTATATGACTTTCCTTTCCTGGCATGCACGATTTCTGACAAACATTTCTGCAGTTCCTGCATTTCTCTCTCTAGGATGCTGAATAGGAAAAAAAAATAATGTTTTTGCATGCAAAGATATTTCAGCTGTAATCCTGAAGTCC